TGACTGGACAGGTGTTAAACGTGGAAAAACGGATATATTCAGTGATACTTTGTACCACCTTTCTCTCTGTGGGGTTTCTGTTGCTTCGAAACCTATTTCTACAGAAAAGTTTCATCACTTTTTATCCAGCTTTTAATTTCCTGGTACATCCACAGCAGACCAGCCTGTGTTAATGTCTGTAATCATCAGATACTGCTACAACACGGAGAACTTCCAACGTCTGATGTCTAAACACCTGCTGGAGTAGCTATATGATTTTAGGTTGCCACTGGTTACCAGGCTTCTAGTCCTCGATATGGCCTGAGGGGACAAACGTAAGAGTTGTGCAAGGAGGCAGAACACAAGTGCCGAATGACAGAATCAATATCCTGAATTATACCTCCTGCATGTAGGGCTGTTCGATATAACGATATATATCGGCTGACGATATAAAAACGTCTATCGTTTCATTTTACGCTGTCGTTTGTTTCGTGGTGTCGCAAAATAAACTGTTTACGGGAATATTTGTTCATGGTTCTGATGTCACTGTAGTGGCTATATTCATTTATTAAAGTTCTCTTTCTCTTATATTTAATATAACCACACTACGGACGGACAAGCGCTTGTTTTTATGCGTTGTTGTTAGCAACAACGATGGTAACACCACCGCGTGTCCGCTTGTTCCACATAAACCTTTCAAGATCCTGTTGAGACTTTTCAAAATAAACTGAATCACGTGAAAGATGCAGAGTGTTTACAGATGAGAAGTAAAAACGAGCCGCCAGGTGCTAAAAAATAAACCTTAGAACAGGTTAGAACAGGCTTCTCCCCGCAGCACGCCGTGTAGTAAATACTCACAAAGAAAACAGCAGCCGTTACAACTTATGTCTAAAAATGTGTCGTTTCATGCATCGGCTAAAACACTCGACTCCAGCTACACGACGCCCAGCTGGAAACACTTCACACAAGTCGAAATTCACAGAATTTACAGAAAATGTTTGTGATTTATATCGTTATCAGGACGATAGATGTCTTATATCGGGATATGAGATTTTGGTCGTATCGCACAGCCCTACCTGCATGCATAACTTACTGCTGCGTCTTCAGGTGCAAAGCTTTGTTACGAAACTGAATTGATCCTGTTTTCTGTTGGTCATTTTTATTTTTGCATGTTTTTCAAACCTGAGTGAGTGACGGGGAAACAATGAAACAACGCCCACATGCCGTCTGGCTTGCTGCTGGTAAATGTATTAAACTAGAATGTTTGGATCATCCAGCTTTTATTATGTTTTCAACTAAAAATGTGAGAAGTTTGACCTTTTAACCTGCTTAAGGCCTCATCAGCTAAGCTTCTAGCTAGCACCGCTCTGAGGCTGTTGTCCAGTGTTGACAGATTTGTGGTGCAGATCCAATACTGGTACCATAGTCACAGCAAGAGGACTGTAAGGGACATTGGGATGTTTGCATGTATATGCAGAAAATCTTAAATTGGTGTTTTACTGATCAATCAAAGCTGTTTTCTGTCACTTTCAGTCTGTGTCACTAAAGCCATTCAAACATGCCACTGAGCTGTTTTCCTGGCCACAGCTTTTGTCCTGTCTGTACGCCATCCTAGTGGCCTGCACGGGTTATTAGGCACAGCCTCTCTGTCACCCAGTGGGATTATATAACACTGTATAGTGAGTGTGTCTGCGTATCTTTGTCAGCCAACCAGTCAGACAGGGTGAGGTCATCAGTTTGTTGGTGTGTGTGTGTCGTTGTCCCCATGGGACTCTGGCATCAGTTTTGTACTTCAAGAGGCAAGCAGGCAGGGAGAGAAGAATTGTGCCCAAAGCAAACATGACACATGTAATGCACAGAGGCAGTGACGGTCCGTCAGCCTCGAGCAAGTCTGCCTACCTGCCAAGCACGTCTACCTGCCTGTCTGTCTTATTTTCCAGGTGCGATGTGGAAAAGGCGACAGAGGCGCCGACTGTGGTGACGTTTTGTGATGCAGAAACAGGCTGTGTCTGACGTCCCCGTAACGCGACGGAGGTCGTTGGCATTCTGGTGGAGACGTGCTTTCTCGGTTTGGTGGCAGGCTGCCTTTTAATGGAGGAGCCATTTTAGTTAATTGACGGGTAGACCAAAGGAAGGAGGCATACTCGGATCGCTTGTGATCCCATTAACCACATAATGTGTCAGACATACGCTAGACAAACAGGGCAGGAGAGGGGCTGCAGTTGGAAGGCATTCTGGTATCTCTTTATTATTGACCGATCCCCTGAAGTGACCAGAAGTCACAGTGAATTGAGTTCTCGCCCTGGGTAGACTCATGCATGATGTAACCTCCTAAGCAATGAAAGGATACGTCAGTCATTGCAGTATTCAAGCATATTTATGCATTTGGCGATGAAACGAATAAAAATCATGCGTCATAAACGATGTATTTGAACTAAAACTGCTAACTAACGAGGAAGGTGTAGCTCAACGCTGCCCACACTCCTCTGAACTCTGGTTTTCCCTCTGTGTTTCCTCTGCTTTTGTGCTGGTAAGGTTTAGCTTTTCATTGAAGGAGGAAGGTCTGCATACCTCTCTGGTCCACATGCCAGCTTGGCACGAATCCTTTTTCCAGTGAGTGGAAACAAAGCTCTCATTCATTTACTGTTTTATGAAGCGGCGCTTCCTCTGGCTATGGAACTATTTGCAGTTGTGCTTTTGTTTAGTAAACCATTGCAGCTCCATCATTTCACTTAATCCTCTCTATTGTTGTGAGGCCCACTTGAAGTGGAACATTCAGAGATGACGCTGAGTAGCTGATCGTTAAAGTCACGTTGTTTTAGATGCACTGCCCTCCCAGAAACACCGGGAAGACTGCATTGTTGTACCATCCATTAAGCTAACAGGCAGCTGGTCACAAACTGAGGCAGAGGTGCTTCTTCTTGGCTGGTCGATGGTAAATGCATTGGTTCTTAAATAGCTCTTTTCTGCTCTGAGCGCTGTGCTCAGTATCCTTTCCACATTTCCTTTTCCTCTGTGTTGTTTTCCTTCACTTTTCCAATTCTGATTCCCTTTTCCTGCTCTTGTCTGTTTGCATACTCCTCATCTTCAGCCCTGCCACCTCGCTCTGTCCCCGTGTGCCTGTCTGCTTGTTATAAATCATGGTTTCCTGCTGACACTCAGCCCTCAGTCCAAACCGGCAGCCACGGGAATGAGTGTAACCGCCGGCTGTTTTGACTGGCACTGGACACACACATATCAAACTAAAACCATCACACTCTCCCTCCAGTCCACCATTACTTTTGCACCACATTGTGACCTTTACCTCAGATTATCTGTTTACGCACGATAAACTTCATTGTTTTGTCAGGCGATACTAAATAAAGGCGTGTTACCAAAATAGGCCTAGAGACAAAAACACTGAAGGGAGCATCGTCTTTGTCACCTGCCGTCTTGTTTTGATCCATGAAGCTGTGGGACATGTTTCAGAGGGATCTATTTATCCAGCACAGGCCGGATTCTTCTGTAGCTGAGGACAGATTTGTGCTATTTTGGATGTTCTTGACATTTTGCTGTGAAGTTGTCACTGTACTGTAAAATAAAACGATAAATGTGATGAACCCTGTCCATTTGTTCAGCCCCAACAGCTCCAGTAACACTGTGCCACGTTTAGTGGAAATTGCAGTTTTTGTGCGATGATGATGATGAAGCGAAAAGGAGCTGAAAGTGTTTGCGTGCAAGAAGCCAACGCTTACAGGCTCGACTGTTTGTGCGCGTTAGCCTGAAAGTGTGTAACTGTATTTGCATGGCATGTCTGTCTTTAATGACTCCTACATCTGCCGTGACACAAAGCTTACACGGAAGAATGCACTTTTACTGTGTGTGTAAAAGCATCTTTTTAGAGGGTTGAAAATCTACATGCTTAATGACATGTGACGCGCACGCACATGTCATTGTGTGTGTGTGTGTGTGTGTGTGTGTGTGTGTGTGTGTGTGTGTGTGTGTGTGTGTGTGTGTGTGTGTGTGTGTGTGTGTGTGTG